AGTTCGTTTGATATGAAACTATCATTCTATGCGTTATTATTCTAAGAATAATACTATGTACAAATTTGTCTATCCAACGCAACTTGTATTAAACATTAAGCTAGTGTTTGTTTCATATGTGTTATCCGCGCAAACCGCGTATGTAGTATTGGTAAGAAGCGCGTATCTGCACCAAACCATATTTCACAGGAGAGGACTTTAAAGTTATTACTTTGTTATTTCAATGGCTACGGCTTCCATTTTTGCCTAGTAAGCATTAATTTATGTTGTCTACGGACTGACAACAATAAATTCCCGTAAATCACGGTAATTTGGTTGCCACGACATTTACGCGGAATTGATTTGGTGACTAAATTACCTAAATGGAGACTTATAATCAAATGCTAGTTACGCGTTGCACTATCCCCAATGAAATGTAAATGTAATGAAGCTGTATGTTTTTGAAATAAAAAAAAAAAAAAAAAAAGAACCCTGCACGTCCCGTTGAACGCACCACCACTGTTGCGAATTTGTGGCCTAAAAGTGGCGCGCGCAAATCACGGCAGTATCGTTGTATCTGCGCTTCTAAATATTGTACGAAAATTAATAGCGGCGCCACTGTAACGCTTCTATAAGCGCCTAATTTGTATAATAATAATAATAATTAATTTATTCGCTTCAAATAGGGTACGATACATTATACATGTTGCTGGTAAAAATTCGGCCTTCTTAAATAAAAGGATGCAAATACAATAATCAAATAATACACTGATAGATTAAGACTAAATGTAAAAACAATAATTAAACAATAAATTGATAAAGTTAATTGATTTAATACAAGATGTCACAATCGTGTCACAATAATTTAAAGTAAATAATAATAATTGTAAAGAAAAATGTATGCATCAATTAATTTGGCCAGACCGGCAAAATGATAGTGACGGAGTGAAGATATTTGTGTTTTCCATCCGTTACTCTCATCTCTGGACTGTATTCGCACTTTCCATCAGGCGCGGTGCAGTCATTTTGCCGAGTCACAATAAAAAAAAAATAGTCCTATATTTAATGAATTCGTCAACTGAGTAGAACAAAATATCAAGCCACCTACGGAATTATTTTTTGAAACTAGTCAATGGAAGAAGCTTAAAGCGATCTGGTATATGATTGAAAATTGTAGGCACTCTATATGTTCATGATTCCATGTGATTGTCGATGGTTGATAATAATAATGCCCAAACATTCATAGCACCGCACTAGGGAAACCCCTCGGGTGTTGCGGACACAGATATAGACAACCACAAATTATACTCACGAGAGAAATAAATGTAGACTATACAAATATTTCTCCCGGCCTAGGGATCCAACCTGCGACCTCTGCGTGGCATGGTAACCGTTCGGCCACTGAGGCAGTTATGATAAAATTAAATATTCCATTTTCTTATTACAGATCGTGGGTGATGTCATCGCATTCCCTTTTGAGTCAAAAGGTAATTATATATACAATCTTCTATGTATGCAACGGAAGTTTCGTAACGGAAACAGGAGCGGAAACAGATGTCAAAAGTAAATCTTAGCAGAAACGGAAACTGAAGCGGAAGCGGAAGTGTAGATACTATAAAGATCTCAACAAAATTGTTCCAAACAGGGCTTGTGTTTGGTTTTATAATTGCACTTAATATAACACGTCTAAGACGCATACGCCTCACCTGATCCATCGCGAACGTTATAAACTTCCCATAAAAGTCTGTTATAAAAGTTGCGGAAGCAGAAACGGAAACAGATGTGAAAAAGCGAGCGGAAATACCGCAGTTGCGGAAGCAGACTATCGCATAATCTCTAAGGGTACCCGCGTTGCATAGCGCGGATCGCATACGACATTCATTATAGAATTGAAACGTTAGCTCGAAGTCAAGCAGTAGATGTATTTACTGTTGTGTTTATGGTTATTGGTTACAGCCTGTATAGAATGACAATTTTATACAGTAAGAACGTTTGCACACTTCGTCCAATTCGTATCAATTCCGAATCCGAGAAAAGTAGGTCCAAAATGTCACAGGGATCGTTTTATCTGTAGGTGTGCAGGCGATATTCGTATTTACTTGGATTTGAATCTGCAGGTCGATTCAGAACCTTACGATAACTCTGTTGTCGACCGATTTCTTTTCATTTTTATTCACAACACCCGAATCGAACGTCAAACTGTCGTATTCGAAACCAAACCGAAATGACGTCACACCCGTACGATTACTCGGACTTCTCGACCGGCAAAGGCTACAAACGTTATTCAGAACACAGTTATCGAATGAAAGTTACCGAACGTCCTACTGTTTACAAAACAAAAATGTAATATGAGAATGTATTATTTATTTTAAATAAAATCTGGATTGATGGGATGGGAGGATTTTGTTCAATTTTATTAATCTATTTTAATGCAAGACTAGCGCATTACTTTGAAGTCTTAAATATGTATATAAAAGGATTTTTATTTTTCTTATATAGATCTATTTCACCGACTAACTCCGTAAACGCTGTTGGATAACGAACGTTTAACTCGATGTTATGAATAACTCGGAAAGCATCGATCGATTCGAGAACAATATCCAATCGAAAGATTCGGTTAAAATATCGAAGAGTTCTGAATCGGAGTCCAGTTCCGAATCCGAGAAATGACGGTCCGAAATGACACACAGGTATTATTTTATCTGTAGGTGTACAGACGACATTCGTATTTTCTTGGATTCAAATCTGACTTAGTACATAAGCGACATCCGGAGTAGAGAGAGCGGATATATATATATATATATATATATATATATATATTTTCATCAATCAAGTAAAGGGAAGAACCAGTCGTACGCTACAAGCCTGTCCATAAAGATTACAGTGCCACTCAGAGCTTTAAACTGGAATACATTAATACTGACATTGCTTGGCAGCAGAAATAGATAAGGTTCAGTTTCCAGCTCCCTCACAAACTATAATCAGCTATATTTATTAAAGTATGTAAAAAGAAATTAGTCGTTTGTGATGGTAGAAAATTAACTTTTTTCCATTTTCGATTTTAAATATCATTTTTGAAATGGTGAACAAAAGCGAGAATTGCTATACGACTGGTGTTATAACCTGATTTGTCTATAAAAAGGGCAGACGACTCGTTTTTATATGTGTAACTTATCACAGATAACTTTATTAAATTTGTATTGAATTAATATTCAAATATTTTTATGTGATATTACTCCATTAGTTTGTTATAATTATTAATGCAATTATCGAACATTTAGAAAAAATTCCTTCGATCCGGCCGGATTCGAAACGACGTCTTCTAGCATACCGTGGCAGACGCTATACCAACTAAGCCACGGAACGAACCAACGGACCTCACGAATTTTTCTATGTGCTTTCGTCGTGTCTTAACGACTTTTTAGTCGTAGCGCCATCTATGAGAAATCTATGAAAGATTTATCACCCATTTAGTACCTTTAACCACGCCAACTAAACCACGGATCGAACTTTTGTATTTGGTTTTCAACGACTTTTAGCCGTAGCGCCATCTATGAGAAAGCTATGAAAGTATTTCGTCACTCAGTAAACTTTATTTATATTTCAGGTGAACGCATATACAAAGAAGAGCACTGCATCAAAATGACTCCCGAAAAACATAAAGAAATTGAAACGTTTGTTGACAAGGTTACTGCTTTTCTTGCGAAACTAGCAGAGGAATTTGACGAATTTGACATTAGACATGTGAATTTTGACATTGAAGGTCTTGGTGACGAAGAGGAAGAAAAAGAGACTATATTGCAAGTTACTATCAATGATTGCGCTACAATAGCTGAAAAGGAGGCCGAAGAGGACCGAGAAGAACTGAAATATAAAGAACAGGTGAAGAAGGAACTGATAGAAGAACAGAAAAAGGGAAACAAAATTGAAGAAACACATAAGGAAACGTCTGAACGAAAACTGAATAATTATACAGCACTAAAGAAGCAAAATTCTAATAGTAACACAGTTGTTGCAAGCAAAGAACAAACTTCACAAGCAAAAACTATTGATTCTCATAGTACTACACAAGTGCAAAAAGATACATACGGTTGCAGCAGTAACGGCCACGAAACCATGCCCCATGCAAAGCCTACAATAGTGTATTTAAATTTGTCGGAAAACGGACAAGAAATGTTGAACATTTTGGAGAAAAAACGAGGGAAGAGACCTGTAGTAGTGGTCTTAGAGCAAGACAATGGTAAGAGAAGAATTCTTATGCCTAGCAGAAGATAAGCTACTTGTTTCTTCTTCTTCTTTTGCCTGTCCTTACCCCACGAAGCTACTTGTATACTGAAGGCCACGATCTGTAAAGACCCTGACAAGTAATTTTATTTGCTCAAAACATGAACATTGGTATATACCAAGCGGTTACCTATCTGTAGTCCGAAATGACATTTTCCAGAAATAACGTTTGGTCGAAATTTCATAACTTCGAAAGGGATTTTGAGTGAAAAATGTTTTTTCTTTAAAACCTAACTTATCCTAACCTAACCGAACCTAATCGTGTCTTTGGGATAAACAATAACATATCCTGAAAGAACAACTGTTTCGTTATAATTCGGTTTTCGGTGTAATGAAATGTTATTTCGGACAAAAAATTTTCGACTTTGATAGGTTACCGTACCAAGCTCTATATTCACTCATGTACTTATATTTTCTACTTGTTGGCAGATAATAAATGATATTATTATTATTGTATTACTATTATATTATTACTACATTATTGGTGCCTATAGTTCGAATAGCGATGGGACGGGTTACATTTTTTTTTTCAACTCGAGTTGACTCGATTCGGTGTAAGACAGAGCAATCGCGAATCGCGGTAGCGAGAACGATGCGGCGTATATTCATAATATTATGAACTCGAACCGACGATTCACTGAGTTAGGCAGGATCGGCCTGCCGACGCGACTCGAGAGTGCTCCGAAGGTCTCCGAACCATGGAATTAATAAGTACTTCGTACAACTGGAAAGCTCACTGCAATTATTTTGACATATCAAAATGAACGTTAAATGAATAGCAATAAAATACTTTTTAAATAACCAATATCTCCTTAGAGATCTGAGCTCAAGTGAGACATCTTCTTTCTTGGTGTGTCCCTTTCGCACAATTGCCATGTGAGATATTTGATACAATTATAAGATGTTTGTAAATAATACCATACCAACTATGAATGCAATAGGTCGCAAATAAATCAAAGTCTTTATATTATTTCACGATATTTAAATATTATTGGAAAGTTTTATTTGTTTTACATTAGGCAACACTAAAATAATATGGCGTCATCTCTGTTTGTTAGTCAGAAAGAGACGGACCAAGATTTATGACATCTCGCTCGGCGCACGCTTCAATACACAGTAAGCCTTCCAGTTGTACGAAGTACTTATTAATTCCATGCTCCGAACCTACCGAGCGAGAACGAGCAGCCGATGCGCTGTATGAAAGAAGTATTCGGCTTGGCGGGTCAAGTACCGAACCGAAATAGCTTGAGTTTCTAATAAAGTAGCTCGAGTTGATTCGTTGTGGGAGTGACTCGAGTTAATCGAATTGAATAACTCGATTCGCCCATCGCTAAGTTCGAGTCGATCGCACGCAGCTATATCTACCTGCAGTAAAGATATTTTCTTAGTAATTATTACATAAATTCGAAACTATAGTCTATTCCAATTCATTTTAAACAAAACTGTTTGGTTAAAATTCTAAAGCAATCACTGAATTGAATAAGTAACACTTGACGTATATTTCCAAAATTTCGACTTGATATCGCAACACTTTTTCCAACAATATTAATTTGAATAGCATATTATTTTTCAATTTTACAACTACGATGACCGGTCTATGGTTGCATAGTGCTGTACGAAAAAAACATTCAGTTTATTCAATTAAACTTTTTGTAATCGATTGGAAAGTCGAAAATTTCAATCGCAATCGAACGAGTACCTAAGTTTTAAAATTAAGATTTCGGAAACTTTAAATATGCTTTTAAAGGTTATGTAAGAAAAACCGCTAGTATGACTCAATTATTCATTCAATAAATTAATCGATTTGTAGTTGGCATTACAATTGGCTATCACTAAACCGTCTTTTGTCGGGTCACTCACTTGTTTGTTTAAAATGGATTGAAACGAAGTTTACATGCTTTATGGCGCATTTAAACCGGGTCGTCTGCCTACCTTCGGAAGACTACTTCGCTTGCCGAAGGCGGAAGGTGGCTTTGCTTCGGCTGCAAACTACCGTCTTCAGAAGACTCACTATATTTGCTCCAGGTAGGTCGCTGACGACTTGGTGTAAATGCATCATTTTTGTTGCTTAGTTTTGATTACAATGTGAATATCTATACCTTACTATTCTCTATTATAGATCTGTATTATAGATTATTCTCTATTCTTCTCTGTTATACATCTGTAAAACTATTTACCTTTATATAAACATTTGCTCCTTAATAACATACTAAGCAAGTTAACAAAAATATACATTAAATAAAGTGTCCTTCTTTCATTCTTCCGTGCCTTCTTTTATATTACCAAAAATATTTTTTTTTTCTACTCTTGCATTGGCAGTATCATAATAATTATGATTAATTGACAATTCATATAATGAATTTTCAAACAAAACAAAAAACGCAATTTTTATATTTCAAAGTGTTCTATAGAGCACTGTCAAATAGATGAATTGCGTTATATGAATTGTAAGCAATTCATAATATGAATTGTAAGAAATTTATAATATGAATTGTAAGAAATTCATAATATGAATTGTACGAAATTCATAATATGAATTGTAAATTAATTACATTATGATTCTGCCAATACGGCCTTTTTAGCCCAACCACACTTTAATCTGTCAATCATAATTTTATAAACCATATCATAAAGGCGCTCTTTTTAGTTCTCTACCTATAGAATAAAAATTCTGTTGTCTATGGTAGTCGCCACTGAGCTGAAAATTTTCATAAAAGTCTTGTACACAGAATTATAATGAGTACCGTAGTACTGTATACACATAACTCTAATGAGTTTCAAAAAAAGAGCGTCGTATTTTTCTTAGACTACTTTTTCCATCCTCGGTTTTTACGGTATTTGGTCAGTTCTATTCATTTCTTTCGTTTTTTGTTTTGTAACGTTTATTTGGCTTTGTGGAACTTTTGCCTGCCCTAATAAATTGGTAAAAATTTATGAAAATAAAATTGCTTTTGTTGTCATGGATTGTTAACAAAATATACATTAAATATTGTTTCTGTTACATTACTTTATTTACTCGTAGAAAAAGTATTGTATGCAATCATTATTCATTACATAATCAGGTCATGAAAATTTGTTCCTATTGCTTAGGTCACTTGGCAAATGTTCGTGGCCTAAGCACGGTACTAGACTTTGAAAACCCTCATTATGCAGCGATTGCATAAAATATTATTATATTACATTATTGCAGAGGGGGGAAGTAAGGGGTTGCTGGACGAATATGACAGTGGTGTAGCGTTGATTTCTGCCTTCCTCGGTTCGACAGTGTTTTTGTGTTAGCCTGCCGTCCTGTTGTTCAGGATATCGTTTTCTCAAACAGTAGAATTTATTCTATAACTTTAAAGTTATTTTGATTAGTTAGGACTCGCGGCCCCCATTGCTGGTCCCCTCTGCACCCCCACTCTACGCCACTGGAGTATGGGTTGCAGGTTGTTCTCTCACTTATTTCAAAAATGGAGTATTCTCTTGAATATATTTTTCTTTGAAAACGATTAGTTTAAGACTTCTATATGAATAAGAACACCTTGATTAATCGTTTGGCGATGAAGGCACTTTGACTGTCATCATGGTTTATTTTAAAAAGCGTTGTTGGTAACGAAGTGACAGACGGTAATGAAATTTACTAATATGGTAATGATAAGGTGATGTAAAGGAGTGAAATAAAAAGAAATGAAAATTACTTTTAACCAGTAAAGAAGAAGAAACATTATTTATAGTTGTTTTGTAATCAATCATTTTTTTAAATATGACACTATTGAAACTCTGATAATAATATAATTAAATCAGCAACTTGCATTACTTACTTTTTAATAAAACTCTTCGCCAATAAAAAGTACGTAAGATATATAAAATCTGTCTACGAACATTTAATTATATTTTCAAAAACCAAAGAAACTTAAACAAACCCCTAATTGCTTTAACAAACAAATCAGGAATTATGATTAAGGTAATATCTACATCAAAATAATATTAAATAGCGTAGAAATGCTTTTATTATAATGTTTTTAAAACTTTTGAATATTTAAGCTTTAAGAGTAGTATAAAATAAAAACAACAGAAAAACTCTTCCCTAAGCAGTTAGCTTAGGCAGTCAATTTGCTTTGTAATAATGAAACTCGCTGAAATGCCTTACTCATATAAAAGTTAGCTCTCTCTCTCTCTCTCTCTCTCTCTCTCTCTCTCTCTCTCTCTCTCTCTCTCTCTCTCTCTCTCTCTCTCTAGCCGTTTTCAACCACACCTTCAGTGCCTGCCACTTCTCTCGGTTGTGTACCACCTTTATCCAATTCAACCCCGCGACTTTCTTTATGTCATCCTTTTAACGCATCTGCGGTCTCCCTCTGGGGCGATTTTCACCCCAAGATCGCCATTCGACGAAGAAAGTCAGTTAACTGGCATTGTTAGTAAAAAAAATTTGAAATTTTTTAACTGTCTTAACGTATACAGTCGGTAACTCCCTTAATATTAAGTAATAAATCAGTCTACTATTTCAAATAAGGCAGTCATGTAAATATGAAAAATCTATTTAATCTACAAATAGAATAGGTATATAGACAATACTATAAAAAGTAAGCAGTATAGAAAAAACTCCATTTAAAATTTAACATTTATAACGCGATTTTTTAATAATTTAAGTTGTTATTGAAAATAACATGCCTAGTAATTTACACACATTGGTTTTCCAATTTAGGAATAAAGTTTGTATTTTATTTGATAATGCACAATAACTCGGAATATTGTAACAACATAATAACATTGTAATTTTGGCATTATCATGATTTACTAAGATTTTCTTTGTCATTATCTGCTTCTATCTTATGTCCTATTTTCATATTAAGTTAACTCACGTCTATGCTTTTACTCTTAGGGCGCATTCCAATTATGTCGTAACATTTTATTTATCGTTGTACAACTGTCGCTCTTAGCCTGTTCCCATAATGTAATTATATATTATGTAATTCCCATATCGTGACTGTGTCGTGCATTTTTTATCGTTGAATTTCAATTCTATTTCTATTATTTTGTATGTCAGTAGTAGTGTGTGTTCGCACCCGTGTGAAATGGAAATGGATGAAGATGAAATTTTAATAATGTATTACTTTTTAAAAAGGCGTAACAGGTTGCAGACAACGATAAATAAAACGTGACGACAATAGTCGTGCGAATATCTGTCGTTACATTTTATCGTGACGTTTTATTTATCGTCAGCGGCGGTCGTTCTAGCTCTTCTCATTGTCTCAGCTGAAATAATTTGTACTTGCTGTTCCTCATGACGTGGCCGAAGTACGATGTCTTCCTCCTTTTTCTTTAGCTTAATGAGTATAGTTTCATATTTGTAACATGGTCACGCCATGAGATTCTCAAAATACGGAAATAACCCCACATCTCTAAAGCCTCCAGCTTCCTTGTATATATTCTATGTGAGAGTCCAAGTTTCTACGCCATATAAGATTCAGATGACGTAGCCGCGTGCACAATCTTAAGTTGAGACTCAGATTTAATTTTGCAGTACTCATTTCGAAGAAATTTTAACGAATAATTTCGATATACACTTTGATTTCATTAGCGAGTCCACACTTTAATTCATACCGTTTTATTACCTTCTAAAACGTGTCATTACCATCCCCCAAATTTTCGGGAGGAAAAGAAGGTAATGAAAACGAGATGAATGAGGTATCAATAGTTTTGTTCAAATTATTTTCTTAATACTTGAGGTGTGGCGTTACTTCACACCGGGTCAGGTGCTTCAGCTATACCAAGCACCAGTCCGATCATGTATGGAGTTACAGTACTGCTACCACTTATGGGTTGGCTCTGGCAGTGGATTTGTATTCAGTTGAAAGCATCCCAAAAGGCGTATAGGTGACTCGGATTTAGTAGAGGTGCAGTTGCTGCGCCTTGAACACCAGCGTAAAGTTACCTGCACAATATATTACGGTGAGTGTGCGAAGGAATTACATGATTAATTAAATCATCCGTCTTCCCCTTTCCATCATCAGAGAACTAGACGTAGGCTGGGGTTCCACCCCTATGTTGTGGAAATGCCTAGGATTCGTACGAAGCGTTTCGCTTTGTGGCGAGCGGCTAGGGAGTGGAATTCCCTGCCTGCGGACTTATTCCCCGAACGTTATAACTTGGACCATTTCCAGGTGAGACCGAATAGGCATTTTTTTAAATCATAATATTAAGTGACGGGACGAACTAGTCGTGCACCTTATGGTAACCTACGATGTCCGTCCATAACAGTTACAGTGCCACTCAGAG